TAAAATTTTTAAATGTATTTGATTTTATCTCATTTTTTTTATCTTCACTTTTTTTTTGTAAAAATTATTTTTAGTATTTTACCTCAGAATTTAGCAAAAATACTTTCTTTTCCGTTAATATTAATTGTTATTTTTTCCACTTCTACTAACGTATGAAATTTGTTTTTTATAGGCTAATAATAAATTCTTTTATAACATGTGATGACTTTTCAAAGTATGACAATAATAATTATTTAAAAAGATGAAAAAATATTTTTTATATGAAAAAAAAAAAAATTTTTTTTGTTATTTTAGAAGAACACAATCTTTGCTTTTCTTTTAAGAAATATTTGGCGTAAATTTAAATGTAATTTATTAACATTAATTAAAATTGAATTTTATATAGAAAATAAATCTCTTTTAGTTTTCAATCAAGAGCTTAGAATTAAATTAGATTTTTAAATTCTAAATAATTCAATTTTTATTCCGTCAATATTTAGTTACTATTATTTGAATAATTTTCGAAATAATGGGTGGGAGAGCAAAACAACATGACTTTGGAAAAATTAAATTAAAACTTAAAAATTAACTTAGAAAGCTAAACCAAAAAATTCCTTTAAAAATAAATTGTAATAATTTTTTAACTAGCATGAGGTGTATAATTTGATAGTTTTTTATATGTTGTTTATAAAATTAATAAGCAATATTCATGTTATTAAAGTTTACCATAATTGATACAATCAAATTGATTGCAAAAAGTGTTTTAAGGACTTCCTTTCTTGACTTGAAGAGTTAAAGCATATATTTTTTATATTTTTTTGGAAACCGGATTTATTTTATAAATAAACGTTTCAATTTCTAAATTTTATGAGATTATCACCTAAACATCTAATAGGACATTATCTAATAAGGACAATTATAAATGCATGTAAGTGTTCTATAATATATAACTGCTAGAAGTTGCAGTACTAATATTCATGATAAGGCCCATAACAACAAAACGATTGTATAGATTGTAGATTGAATATCAGATTATAAAATATCAAAGAGACAGCTATACATATATATATAATTAATTAAAATCAAATTCTTTTATAATTTCAATTCAAAAAAGAAAATTTAAATAATTATTCCACAAAATAATAAATTACATTTAAATTCAATTTTTTTATTTTTTTTTATACATTATGATTGTTAATATAATATATAGTGTTTTGTAATTTTAATTATGAATATTATAACTATATAATAAAAGAAAAATATATTATATTTCATATCATAATAAGAATATCACAAAAAAAAAAAAAACTTAATTTTAATTGATTTTATTTATTTATACGCATGTTTACATTGTATTTAATAAGGATATATGGATAAATTATACATCCTTTGTCTGAATTATCAACATTTTCATTGATTTTCATTTTTATTTTTATATGATAACATTTTTTTTAAAATAAGACATAATAAATCAAAACATTAATAAAATAATATTTACTTATATGTATGTATATTGTGTATGTATGTACTTATATGAAAATGTTTATTTTATTAATGACTTTCCTATATAGTGATGATAAAATCTGAATAACCTATTATAATCATATACGTAATACATATGTGAAAAAAAAACACAGCAAACAATAATTAAATAATATTTTTTTATAATTAAGTAATAATTTGATATTATATAATAAAACAACAATTTATAATGAAATTTATTAATATTATTAAAAAAAATTTAACAAAAATTATAAAATGTGAAGTTTGTAAAAAAAACATTTACTGTCTTTTCTGTCGCTTAGCTACATAAAGAGTTAAGAAAAACGAATATATTAAAAAAAAAAAAAGAAAAAATAATTTTTAAATTTTATAAAAGTATTCCAAATGTCCTTAATTTCCTTAAATAGTCTTTGAAAGATTTACATTTTAAATCTTTCTAAATATTATTTAAATACTTAATTAAAAATGAAAGATAGATTTTTTATTTCTTAATGCTCTCGTTATATAATTATTTATATTTATATTATACAATTGTATTTTCAATATAAATTTTATTTTATTATAAAGATAATGCACTTTTGTTTAAGGAAAAAAACTTCTTTTATTTTATTAATTTTTTATATATTTTTCTTTATTTTTTTAGATTCTTTTTAAGAAACTTTATGATTTTGTGTTTTTTTTTCTTTTAACTTAGTAATTAAATTTTATTTAATTATTATTTACATAATTTGTAAATATCTTTTTTTTATATATAAAATAAAGTTAAGAGAAGAAAAATCGGAAGTCAAATTTATATTTAATTCCTTAAAAACATTTTTAAAATTACAAAAGCACTAAAAATTTCAATTTTGATAAAAAAAAAATATTTTTTTTTTTTTATTTTTAAATATTTTCTCAATTATTTTAAAATACTTTTGTTTTTTAATTTAAATGATTTATTTTGTTTAACTAAATGAAAAAATTTTTGTCTTCGTGATAAAATTTTTGAATACTTTTTTTTAATATTAATTTAATTGATAAATTTATATGTAATATAAATGAATTTCCTTAATTTTGATTTTTTTAATAATTTAAATTGATTTTTATATTTAGTTGATTTTTTAAAATAATAATGAATTTCAAACTTTTTCCTAATTATATTTATTAAAATAAATAAAAAGTAAACATATTATCTAAAAATATAATTATATATTTAAATATATATGTATATATGTATATTATGTAAACATACATTTATATTTATAAATTTTTTTTTTAAATTTTTTAATTTTTTTTACTTTCCCATCTCTTTTTGTTTTGCTTCTAATATTTGTTTTTTTTTTGTTTTATTCTAAATTTTTAATTTAAAGGAAGCACACAAACTTATATAAATAATAAACTTCCTGTACGTATTTATTCTTTTGTTTTTTTGTTTTGTTTATGTAGTTTTTTTAATGTTTGCTTAAAAGTTTTAAATTCTACAAAATTTAAATGTAGACATTTATAGAAGGAGTTCGAAGAGGAAATTAATGACATTATAAATTTAGAGAAATATTTAGAGAAAACAAGAAAATAGAAAAATTTAATTTACTATTTTGTATTTTTTTTTTTTCATTTTTATAGATACAATGAATACAATGTATATTTTATTTACTTACAAATATTTATTATGATTTATATAAGAATTTTTATATACTTTATTTGGATATGTAAGTAGCTATATCGAATAAATTACTGTATTTTTTTTTAAGTTGAAATATTAAAAGAAGAGCTTGATGTGACCATTATGTTTTAATTACGCTGTGACCATTGAAAATAAGAAAGCAAAATAATTAGACGAAAACTTTAAATTTTTTTATATATGGAAAATAAAAGTCAAAATACTCTGAGCTATACTAAGATTATATTCCACACATTTAGAAAGAACATTTAATAATCATGAAGTTTTATTAAAAAGTTTGAAAAAGCAATACTATAACACTATTTTCATGTTAATTAAGCAAGAACTTACTGAAAGAACTATTCGAAATATTCACTTGAATCATAGATTTATTTTCTTTGCTTTATTTCTTTCTTAATAGACAAAAACGGGTACTGTAACTATTAATTTTTTTTAATTGCTGGCGTCATATTGACAGTTAAAAAAATACTTACACTTACAATCTGTAAGTTTTTAAAATATTTATTCGGTTAATTTGATTTTTAATTAGAAAACTTATGAAATTATATATACTCGTGTGTATGTAAATAAAATTATTGATTAGATTACAACGTTCCGATGTGAAAATCATTTTTCTTAAATTATAATTTTTTTTTACTTTAAAGACTTTAAATAATATTTAAGCTGTACAAAAACTATATTTGTACAAAATATTAACTTAAAATTTCAATTTTGATTTTTTGGGTTAACAAAGAGTCCAATATACTTTTTATGTAATTAACAATCGAAATTAAAGTCCCTGAACTGAAATTTTGCCAATACAAAATTAAGGAAACGAAAACATTAAACAAAACACAGAAATTAATTTTTATATTTATTTTTTCAAATTTAATGAATTTAGTTATACATTTAGTGTCAGCGTACTATGTATTTCTAAAATTTAGAATTATTTTAAAATAATTTCGAAAAAAAAAAAAATTATTTTTTTATATTTAATGAGTAGCTTGTTTATTTAAATTGATGTTTCCTAGTAATAGGCAGAACATTGACGCATAATATTTTAATAAATTAAATTTAATTAAATAATTTTTAGTTGTATCTTGTCAATTTTTAATTTATCAACTCATTAAATATGATAAATTATGCTTTATGTATATTTATATCTTATGAGTACGAAAGCTTGCAGATTCTGATTTCATATTGTTATTTTGACAGTTTAAGAAAAGAAAGAATATAGAGAATATTTTTCATAAAAATTTTAATACTCATAAAATTTCTACAGAGAGAAATCTATTTTTGCCTGAAGTACTATCAAATTTCGAATTAAGTTTGAAATTAATACATTTAGAAAGAACTTCCTAAAGAAGGAATGGTCACAAACGTGCTTTTTAATTGCAGTTTTAATGGTAATAAACTGTATAACTATAACTATAATAATTCCAATATTAAAATTTTTTGAATCTAAAAGATTTTTTTGAATAATTATTGAAAATAAGATTATAACAATTATATTATGTAATAAATTTATAATTATTTTTAAATTCTTTAATTTTAAATTAAATAAATTCCTTTTTAATTATTGAAAGCTTTTCTTAATTTAATTTCTCTCTTCTTCATTTCTTTTATAAATTATTATACTGACTTATTTTTTCAAAATTTTTCCAATTTTCTAAATAAAGCCTTATGTATTCCTATATAAAAAAATTTTCTACATAATTTTAATGAAAAATTTTTAATATTAATGAAGAGTTTTTACATAGCGAATATATGAATTTTTCTTTAATAGTGTTCATTACTTGTGTAATTGTGGAGTTTAAAGAATAACTTAAATTTTTTTATGTTTTTTTTGTATATTTTTAATTTTGTATTTTGATTTTAATATATATTTTTCTTTTTAATATTTTGATATGAAAAAATGTCTTTTGAAAAAAATTTTATTTTTTAAATTTTAAACTTTTCTTATTTATTTTTTTTTGTTCTACTTCTTTGTGTATTATTACGAAAGTAGTGAGAATTCTACTGGCTAAAAGTGCACTTTTTCATGTTTTTTTTAATTTTTAATATTTTTTTTCTTTATTTATAAATACATGTACAAATATTTTTTTTTGGTTTTTTTTAAGTACAAATAGGGGTGTTTCTAGAAAAAAAACCTTATGTTAAAAAAAAAAAGAAAATGTTTTATTTCTCAAATTTGTAGTTTAGTTTTACTGTTTTTTATTTTGATAGAAAAAATATGAAATAATTCCGATTTTTTTTTGCATTACTTGCAGTTTTGATTTTTCTTAAATTCCAAATTAAAAAAAAATACATATTTTACTTTCTATTCATATGTAGGATCAACCCATTCAATTTTAGCCCAATTTGGTAAATCAGTTTCATATTCCCAGCCAGGTCCCTAATATTTCAATAAAAGAAATAAAGTAATTTTAATACAGACTATTAAAAAATTCTGGAAGAAGTTAAGAAACAATTTATTTAAAATTCCTAATGGTTTACCTTATATTTCCAAGCATGTAAATACATAACCAAATCTTGTGGTTTTGGATCCCTATATCTTACTTTACATTCATAACAATGTTTATCTGTTGTCATTTTGTCTGGATTAAAAGTTAAATCAGGTGATTCATGTCCAGTTTGTGTAGCAACTGTTACCTATCGAAAATAATGAATTTTTTTTTTCAAAATTTTCTTTGAAATTTTATTTACTTATCATTTTAAAAAAAAACTAATAAGCTTTATTAATACGAGCCAATTTTCATTACTTACCTTGACTTTTGACTGTAAGGCTAATGATGGTGTATTTGAATTTTGATTACAACAATTTCCTCCTAAGTTTGTCTGATTACTTATAATTGATGTAGATATTGTATTGGTGCCTGTTGAAATTAATGTTCCAATGGAATTTGATGTTGTCGTTATGACTCCTGTAGATGATGTTGTTGGTGTTGTTGAATTATTAATACCTGTTGTTATTACTTTTGATTGAATATGATTATTATTGTTATTTTGACTACTATGATGATTATGGTTATGATGACTATTCATATTGCCTTGTATTGTATCATGTGGACTTTCACTTCTTATTGATACTGGTCTAGGGCTTTCTGAACATGGCGATGATTCTCTTGATACACTTTCAGATTCATCATCACTAATTGTATTACCTAAATTTGTGAAAAGAAAAAATAATATTGAATTAAAATTTATTTAGATTGAGTTTTTAGTATTAAATTATTAAATTAAAACATATAAGTATATACGAGTATATATAAATTTACCTTTAACGCAACCACCAAGACTGTCATCGGGATCATTACGAATTGATTTAAATAACGATAATTCTGAATCACCATCAATTCCTAACCAATTTTCAGCATTATGAATATTAATTAAATCTTTAACTAATTGTTCATCTGATTTTCCACCAATATCACCACCTCTACCTTTATTCGGTCCAAAAACTTCATGATTATATAATGGATCATTAACAACAGGATAGCCTTCATGTACAAAAAATAATAGAAGCCAAAAAAAGAAAATATATAAAAATTATAAATGAAAAATTACCATTCTAGAACGTTTACTTATATTGTACACACAATTCTACATATACATGAATATACATATATATACATAATCATATACTCTATACATACATCGATGAAATTACTGTAAATAATAGAAAAGTTTTTTTCAGGACATTAATCTTTATAAAAGGACATTTCCTTTTTCGGGTTCCAATTCTATTTCTTAGTTGAATGGTTTAATACAATACCAAATTAAATTATGTATGTATGTATGTGCTTGTTCGTATGTATAAACATATGAAATATGAAAGTATATATGTGTTTATGTACTTATGCATATTTACATAATATTATTATTTAATATGTGTGTATATGTAGTTGATAAAGAAAAAGGATTTGTATCAATTAAATACAAAACCAAAACAGAACATTAAGGTCATTTCATTGCCCATATACACACATTATATAAAATGGTATGTTTTTGGTGAAAAATTAACAATATAAAAACAAAAGAAAAAACAAGACAAGCAAATAAAACTTTACTTTTTACAACATTATACAAAAAAAAAAAAACAAGAATAGTTACCCAAATATTGCAAATGTACACGTATTTGATGCATTCTTCCTGTTAGCGGTTTACATAAAACCACACTCGTCTTACCATTGTATCCTAATTTCTGAAAGGATGTGGTACATTCTTTTCCTTTAGGCGAAACTTTACAAACACCAATTTTGTAGCTTACAACTTCAATCGGCTCTTTGCATTCTATAGTACCGCTATAATATAAATTTTAGAAATAAAAAAAACAGGAAAAAGTTAGAAATTTAAATTAGTAAAAAATGAAAATTTAAGGACGCAAATACACATTAATAGTTTACTGTTAATTTCCAACTGTATTTGTAAATTTGTTATGTGAAAAAAATTTTCCTTTGTTAAAATTCTATTTAAACCTTAAGTTTAAAAGAAAACAATACCCACGATAAGTGAAGAAACTTCAAAGGCTTTAAAATTTATAAAAGTTGTTTTAAATCAAAAATTAAAGCGTTCAAAAAATTTTATAATCAATGTGTTTTAGTGAGCTAAGCACTTGACTGTCGCAAATTGAAATAATAAGTTTCTTAAAGATTTTCCAAAAAAATTGCTTTGAATACTTAAAGTTTTTACAGTCTAAATTGTTTTTCCCAATTGTTTTTGTAAAATATTCTATTTCATTAAACTCGGTATCCTGTACTGTTTTTTCTTTTTGAAAAAAAATTCAACTATTTATACAATAAAACAGAGCACCCTAGTAAATTACTTATAAAATCACACAAATAAATATAGATCTAAAGTTTGTTTAACTTAAAGAACAAATAAAAATGTGTTATTGAATAAGTCAAGTTGAGATTAGAAAAATATTTTTAGGTGATCCTTCCAATATTAAGTATATGTATACTTACTCTGGAAATTCGCCATCTACTCTGCAAATGTATTCTTTTCGCACTTGTCGATTTCTTATTTGATGTTCCATTTGCCTAGCTTTTTTTGGACTACGACCAAATAAAAGAAGACCAGAAGTTAAGCGATCCAAGCGATGTATTGTTCTCAAATTTTTCAAATTATATTCCTTAGCTAGGATAAAAACTACAGTGTTGTGACGATATCGACCACATGGGTGAACCTGGTTTGTTGTTTTCAGTGTTAATGAATTTTGGTTTTGTTTTGTTCCACCATTTTTCATTTGATATAGGTAGGAGTGTTTTTTTTTTTTAGATTTTGTTGTAATTTTATTCATTGTTAATTTTGGCAGGAGAATAAAAATATGTAGACACAAAAGATAGAATAGAAAAAAAAAGAATAATTTAAATAAAATGATCTGGTAAATAAACTCAAGATTAACCTGTAGTTTTTATTTTTCTGATAATTAACGTTTATATAAAAAGAAATGATAAAAAAAAGAAAAAATTGGACATATTTTTTTTATCGTTCGTTCGTTTTATTTTTTTATTTTAAAACTAATTAAATACCAAATATTTTACCAAAGAAGATTTTGAAAAGCCCTTTTTAATTGAAAATATATATATATATACTTTATTAAAAAAAAAACAAAGGCAAAATGTGAACATTTTCTCGCGCATCATCTTTCCAAACGTCCTTAGAGAGATGATCCTTACTTCATACCGTACATACAAATGAAGCCTAAAAAATATTCATTTATTTTTATTTAATACTTTTTTTTTCTTTTAAAATTGTTTTTTTTTATTTACAGAAAAAAAAATTTACTGTACCGCATATCATATTTTCTGTCCTTTTCTCTAGGATCTAATTATATCTTTGCATAAGGGAGCGTAACTTTCAAATTTCTTTAATATTCTGTTTTTATCCTTTTATTTTTTATTTAATTGTTTTATTTTTATTTTATAATATTTCTACATCATAGAATAGCAGAATTATCCTTAAGTGTATTAAATTACAATTTTAATTAAACATTTCACAAAGATTTTCTCTATGCCCAAAAAGAAAATTTTTACGTCATGGATTTTAAAATTAGTTCATTCTTTTTTTTCTTAATAAAAAAAAAATTATTTCTAATAAGGGTTTTTTAGGTTTTTCTCTTAATTTTCATTATAAAAAAATCCTGGAAGACAAAACATATTATATAAAATACACTAAATTATTTTAACCGAACAATTATTCAAAGATTAACCGTAGATCCTTTTTATATATAGCCATCAAGTTATGTAATGGTTTATTTTAATATAATATATTAAAGCACACATTGTTATTTATATAAAATTATAGCAAATAAAAAAACACACACACATATATATATATATTAATAATAAAAAAAATATAATTTATTTAAAAACTAAAGAATTAAGAGGAAAAAAAAGAGAAAAAAACCTGAAAAATTACTAAAATAAGTTTTGTTTTTAAAAACCTAGAATTCTTTGAAATGGATTTCATATTCAAGATATAATATACTTGTACATATGTACATATATTACCAATGTATTTAAAATTTTAAAAGTATGTTTGTATGCATAGTTGTTAGTCCAAAGCAAAACGTCTTCAAGCACAAATTTTCATTTTGCTGGCAATTTTAAAAGAGAGAATAGCGCAAATAAATTTTGATTTAAATCAAAGGTTTGTAAAGTAGCACCGCTCCTTGATCAAGTTAAAATACTCATTCAAGTGGATAAAAAATAATCGTTTTCTTAAAATATTCTCATTAATGTATGAAAATTACATTAGGAGAAAAATTTATTGCATACATTTTGGATTAAAAACGTTATCTTTGAATTCGAGATTCAGTTACAAATGACTTATCATTAGTTTCTGAGTTTTGTAGAAATATTTTAAAAGCTTAGTCGGAAATACAGGAATCTGAAATTTATAATTCTCCCTATTTTAAGTGGAAAATGAAAGAAGTAGAAAAAAAATTATTCCGATGATGCAAACCACTTATTAATTTTAGCAAATGTTGCAATCTTAAATTTTTGTAGCAACAGCATTAAAATCACTTAATATGTTTTAAAAATATTTTGTTTTTCGATTTTATCTTAAATACACTTTGGACGTTTTGACTTTTTCGACACACCTTCACAATAAGAAAAGTCGTATATGTGTATGTACAATATATTTTTTTGTATGTAATTTATTTAAGCTTTAATTTCAAAACATTTATTTTAAAGACTGTAGGTTTTGTTCTATTTCATGTTTTTTAGTTTAGTTATACGAGTATGTTGAATGGAAATTTATTTGATTGTTTTAATAGTAAGAAACAACAAAAAATAAATAATATCATTTTGAATGTCTGACTAAAGCAACACATACATAAATCTTTTCTCTTCTAAAATTATAAAGTTAAATAAAACAAATGCGTACATAAACATATAATGTATATGTATATTTAAGTAGCGTACGAAAGTATATACATTTGTTTGTAAAGAAAAAACTATCAGGAAGAAAAATTCAACAAAAATAATAACAAAAAAGCACAAACAATTAAGGAAAAGTTTAAAAACTTAAAATTATAAAAACAATAAAGAAAGCGTTTTAAATACATACACAATATGTTTTTGAAGAAAGAGTGCTATAGTTTGATGATGGTGAAATAAACCTGCTTGTATATGTTTGTAAGAACTGTATATTTCCATGTTGTTAACACAATCATGTTTTGTAATCGAAGAAATGAGTCCGCTAACAATTTTCTTTCGTGTATAATAAAGAAAATTAAAATTTTGAAAAAAAAAGAAAATTAACAATATGTTGAAATAAGAAATTTCTTCTCTTTTATACCCCTATTAAAATATTGTTACCTATACGTCATTATAAAATGAGTGGCTTTTATTCAGTGTTTGCAAACGTTCATAACACGTGCGCCTTGAACCACAAATGAAAATTTTAAAAACTATGCAAAAAATTGCAAAAATTAACAAATAATTTAAAAACGGGGCATATTACAATTTTTAAATACAAATGGTAATTGTACCCAAAAGCTAAAAAAAAATCACAATCAAATTAATGATTTATTGAAAGTCATTGGAAGCCATTATATTTTTCCCAATATGTTATAGTATTTTTATAATGTACCTATGAATATATCCATTAGTGTTATATACCAATCGTTAGGCTTAATTTGAGCCCCAATCAAATTTCATTTACATAAAAAATTTTCTCTAAGATTTTTGTTATCACAGTTTTATTTTATTTCGAAAACGATAACAAAATAAAAGCAATAGTCGCAAAAGAAAAATTTTTCAAAATTATTTAAGGATAAAATTTATTTTCTTTGACTTATGATTATTGTTTAAATGTACATACAAAATGTGTATGATGTACAGAATATGAAAATGATGTGGTTTCAACCATAGACGGCTTTCATAAATTTTGTTTTGCTTTTCATCAGAAACATTATTCAATAATGAAAAATCTTGTTATGCAAATTTTTAATTTTCAAAATATTTTTTTATTAAATTTAATAACTATGGAGGTAATATAAGTAATTAAAATTCTTATAAGAAAGTGAAGTTGCCTATATGATAAGAGCAAGATTAGAATGCAAGATATAAAGAATAAAATAATGGCATGATTTCACATACTTAGACTGTAAGAATAACATTTTACAATACAATGGATTGCCTGTACATTTATAAAAAAAACTATGAAAATTTAATTTTTTCTGTACAATGAACCTCTGTTTAATAATGATAAATTATAAGCGGAGAGAGGAGCAAAGCATTAAAGTTCATAATATTATATTCCAATAGGAAGCGTTTTAGAATAAAAAAGTAATAAATTTCATAGGAATCATTTTTTGTTTACTTATGTTTTTTATGATTTTTTTAGATATATATATTTGAGAGTATAAAAAAAAAGAAGTTTAAGTGTGAGTGAGTATAGCATAAAAGATTGAATATTAAATTTGTTGAAAAGATTATTTTTATTGCAAATTTATGGACTCTAACCAAAACTTGATATTAAAAATGCTTTTACATATAGTAAGCTTTTATTTTTTTGGGATCAGTTTGCCTTTTTAATTTATACATATACCTACATATTTTTTTTGGAAATAATATTTTTCAAAAATTCTTTTGGGCCTTATTTTAATACAAAGTCTATAATAATCGGATTTGATTAGATTGTTTGTTTAAGAAATTAATCTACTTATGCATACAAAGGAGAAAAATATTTTTGGGAGTTTTATTTCATTATAGGTACGTATATTTAAATTTATATAAGCCTTATTACAAAATTATAAACCTGTATATTAATTATGTAAGTTTTTTCTATATTTCTGACGTTATTTAATTATTTTAATTATTCAAAAATAGAATTATATAATGAATATAATAATATTAAAATGTCGGAATGGATAATTGAATTTTATAGTTTTAAAAATTTTTAATTATTTGATAAGATTTATATATTTTTATATGATCTTTCAATTATTTTCTGGTTCCCATTTGTTCCTTTCACAACTGATAGATGAATAAATTTTTTAACTTGCCTATTTCGAAGAAATTTAAGTTTTATTTTAATTTAGTTTTTAGTTTATTTGAAACAAAATCCTAGAAATTTAAAGGAAAATTGGATTAACATAAAAATATTAAAATTAAGTAAAATGAAACATTAAAAATAAAAATAAAATTTAGAAAAATTAAAAGCTTATTTTATAATAAAATCTGATTTGAAAAATTTGTAGCTCCATATTCTTTGCAAAATTGTCAACGTCAAACAATTCGGAACTGATCCTTCTAAAAAGCGATTGAAAACCATTAAGATACGAGTATAAATTTTATTTTTCTTGGGTTTTCTTGAGAATCTTGAATCTTTTATAAACCCAATCCTTACATATTTATTCCCAGAATTACACACAGCAACGAAAGTCATCATACACCATTACTTTTTTAAATATGTATGCGTTTTTTTCATGCTTTCAAGAAAATTTTTTTTTCATTTTTATTTTTGATTTTTTTATCAAGTTTTGGATATCTTCCATAGAAAGTTTTGAAATAGAAAAAGAATAAGAAGAAAAAGAAGAAGGAGAAAGAATCACATAGACAATATAAAAAGGACAAAATACAAAATTATCATTAAATGTTAAGGCCAAAAAAAAAACATGGATAATACATATTTGTGGTTGAATTCAGGTTGATAGTTTCCTTTTTCACAATA